CAGGAATGTGCTTTGGGAAATACCAGTCCATACATTAGAGATCCAAAGACTTTAGGGGAGGGAATTGAGGCATGAATCATTAATGTCCCAAGGAATTGCTCCTCTGGATTACATCTAGGGAGACATGGGAAGTCATGCATATATCCAACGTTAGTTCTCTGACTTCTGTTTATCATGCTGATCTCAGTTAACTGTATTTGACAGAAGGTAAAATATTTGCCACCTGTAAGTCCTGCCATCCAAGAGCCCAGGGTCCATGTCCATTTCCTCATATGCAGATTCACTGTATCTTGGATCTTTCCAAGTCCAGAAATGCAGGGATAGTTCCAGTTGTTATCTTGATGTGACTATGAAATCTCCAAGGGTGATGGCGAGCTTGTAAGTCCTGAAGAATGAACAGGAAGTTTTCACTCTGAACACTGGTGAATAACAGTTTCAGTAAGGACAGTACCCCATCATCAGGGATGGATGTGGCCTTGCTTAAAACTCCAGAGGAATGATACATTCCTCAGGCTGATGCCACAAATTCCTATATGCTGGGGAGATTAAATAAATAACTTTATATATTTCACAAGTCCTGGGGAAGAATCTGAAAACAGTGGTGTGGTCTGAAACCACTTTAGAGGTTCTCATTTGAATCTGTGAGTAAGGTGTTTGAATTTGGTTGAATTATTTATCCATCTATTTTAAATGCTAAGTGGACATCTTATGCATTTGTTGTGGTCAGCATGATCATTACACATGTTGCTGAAGGATGAACATATTAAGTACCTTTGCTGAGTCATTCCACAGTGCACTTCCTTCAAGTATCTGTGTTAAGAAGGGCTAGCATGCCCTCGGCAGTTTTCATGTATACAATGCATGGTTTGATCGAGAGTGAGCATGTGCACTGGGCCCATTAACTTATCCCTTCAGTTTAACTGAAGGTTTGGGGCTGTGGCCAATAGCTCTCTAATGTCCCCTACCCCTGTCACAACCTCTAAGACCAAGTGTTTTGCTCTATTTCTTTGATTATTTTTTTTAAACGTTAGTTAAACTGTAACTTCTAGCAATTAATGTTCTTGCTATCTAACCCATGTCTTTCTGAAGGTTCTATGTTAAGCTTATTTGACCTTCTTGACTTGCCATAGTCCTTGCTTGTACATAGGAAAGGAGCAACAAACCCATATGTTAGGTCAGGGTGCTTTGATTCCAGTTTTGAAGGGAAAACAAGCCTCTAAAGCTGGGGTAAAAGGTTCAGAGACAGTTTTCCTATTTTTAAATATTATATTCTCCAAAACTGCTCTCACAGAAGTACAAATAGAGCACATTTAGTCTGAACCTGGTGGAAGGATGGCAGTTACATGATGACCATTGGGCTGACCACACCCTCCTTCCTCATTAATGGCCATTTCATCATGAGACTTGAGCAAACCCCCAGCAGGCTGGTTGAGTTTGCCTCTAACACACATGAAAGAAACACAGGCCTTTGAATTCTCCTGCTTATCTTTCTCCTACTAGTTGCCTCTGACTCTTGTAGCTTCTTCAAATGAAAGATCATACCAGTGAAAACATCTTCCCTTTTTAGTTCTTACAGCTCTGCCCAAAATTACAAGCAAAAAAGGATTTGAAGTTCTCAGATATAATTGGCAGCACAGGTCACAGTGGAATTCTGGCAACCCTCGACTACAGGAGGCTCTTAAAGAGATTTCAGAAATCAGACTATATAAAAGGGCTGGGGATAATTTATTAAAAATTAAAAGCTAGGAAAAGTCACATTTAGTTTAAAGTAATGTCAGTAATCTGATTGTGGGTTCTCAAAAAGTTTCTATTTTATGTCTTTGAAAACAATTGCAGAAGTGTCCAAATAAAAGTGCTGGGGCTCCTTATCTGACCAACTGCCTGGGACACACACTGCTCAACCTTTCGGGCTATGATGTGGAAGAGTACTTGCTGGTGCCATCTGCAAAACCAAGGTGTGTACAAAACTGTTGCTGGGTCTTTACTTTTGTTTTTAATTACAGTTTTCTCTCCACATTCACAGGGACTGGTTCCAGGAATCCAGAGGGTACCCAAATCCACAGAAGCTTGAGTCCCTTATACAAAATGGTGGTATGGTACTACCATAGAACTCCACCCATATTCTCACATTTTGTAGTCATAACTTGATGACTTATGGTACCTGATAAAGTATAATTGCTATGTAAAATTGATGATGAATAAAATATTTGTATATGTTGAATGTAACCACAGTTATTTTCTGAATATTTTTCACCTGTAGATGGTTAAACCCACAGGTGTGTGGAGGCTATGGACATTGAGAGCCAATTGCAATTTGGAAAAACCCATTGTCCTAAATGGTAATGTGCATTAAAGCTCAAAAGACTGATACACACCTTGGTGTTCATGTGAATTCCAAAACCACTCTGTAGGCCTTAATCAGATTCTTCACTGCTGACTTTCAGCCTTTGAAGCCTTGGGGGAAATGGTATCAATTGAGATCTCATCATTGGCAGAGGCAAGGGAGCCAGTGGCAGTTTTGGTGTGTCAGGGAGTACAGCAGAGGAGCTAATGGCATAATGAAATAATGGGCTCTTGTTAAAATTTCCTCTACTGTGTAGCACCTAGTAATGGAACTTGACAACAAACCATGTCTTACAATTCCTGGTGATTTTGGAAAAGTTTTGTGTTGAATGTTTTGTAGCCAGCGTGTGACTACAGGTGTGGTAAATAGGTATGAGTGCTTCACATTGCTTTAAATGTCAGCAGCTTTCACCGTTGTCTTAGGTTTTCTATTGCTTGGAAGAGACACCATGACTATGGCAGTTCTTACAGAGAAACATTTGGGGTGGATTACAGTTCAGAGGTTCAATCCATTATCATCATCTTGGGGAGAATGACAGCCTGCAGTAAGACATGGTGCTGGGGGAATGATTGAGAGTCCTTCATCTTGCGGGAACAGGAAGTTGACTAACAGTCACACTGAGGGAAGCTTGAGCGAAGGAGACCTCAAAGCCTGCCCGCACAGTGACACACTTCCTCCAACAAGGCCACACCTCCTAATAGTGCCACTCACTTTGGGGCTTTTTTTTTTTTTAAACCACCACAACTATCCTGTCAAATTTCCCAAGTTCCCAAAACACACTGCATTGCTTCACAGATGCAGATATCCCATAGGCTGTCCATGTTGCTAGGATACTATACCACCTTGTATTTTCTTTCTCTCCTTCTTTTCCAGGACAGTATGTTGCAGTTGCCCTCAACACTGACCTCCTTTGCCCTCTGTTTTGCCTGCATCTCTATTGCTTTCTCCTCTCCTAGTATCCTTCAATATATCCTACAACCTCTCCTTTTCTTTTCTACTTGTGATGTGGTGGAAGTTGTGTGACTAGAATTTAGAATAGTACCTGGAGTATCTGAAATATCCACTCCATGCTTGTTGAGTGGATGAATGAATTCAGTTGAGCCAGATGGAAGCATATTCCTATCCCTTAAGTTTTGCAGCAAGTACACCATGGTAGAAGACTGTTCTTCAGTCTGTTTCATCCAGAGACTGAGAAGCCAATATTAATGTGTACCTTTATTTCTGATATCAACTATACTGGGAAGCTTAATAAGTATAAGATACCATATAGCCTATGGAGATAAAATTACATAATTCTCACCCAGGAAAAACTAATTAACTGCCTGAAAGACAAACCAACAAGTTAATGATTACAAAACTCAGCATGATAATTTGTTTAATGGATGGAAGTGTAAGGTATTAGGAAAATTCAAATGAGAAGGAACACCTCACCCAACTCTAGTTCCAAGATGTCTTCTTGAGCAAGACAAGCTGTGAGTGTTAAAGAAAAGGTGCAGAGCAGGACAGCCAAACCAGGTGATTATAGGATTACACTGGGCTAAGTCATCCTGAATAGTGGATTTGAAGGGAGGGGGCATACATATGGATTAAAACAAAGTGCTACGAGTCACAACCAATTCTGCCCACAGTGTTTGTTACCTGCTAAATTCTAATAAATATGGTTTCTAGTATGATGAGCCATGCCCATTCCTTCTCCATCAGCAATACTCCCTCTGAGTACTAGAATGAAGTTGGGTCACTCTCATCAGCAGCTGACTCAATCTGTGCAGTAATGCTATGGGTCAGACATACTCAGCAATCTTGAGATAACTGGAACTAAAATGTTGGTTCTGAATTATCCTTTGAGTGCAAGTCCTGGTATCCTGGTTGGGTTAACATCATGTTTACTCCTAACAGGCTTGGAGGTTGGTCTTTTGGAGTACAAATTCCCAATGAAGTTGAAGATGTGAAGACAAACACATCAAAACAAAGAACTTTGGCAAAGGTAATAGGATTCTATTTCCTTATGTTTTAGAAAGTATTTAGACAAACAAAAATCCCAAATATATTTGTGCATGGGCTTACCGAAAGCAGATCAAATTCCAGTGTTTGTTACTGAACATTGAGAATGATTGTATTATGAAGATCCTCTTCAGAGAGAAAAAATGAGTTGGCTTTTTTAGAGGCTGTAGAAATACAACAAACTGGTTACTACTTTTTGTTTAGATAAAGTTACATCTATTAGACTAAAGAAATTAAAGGCTAATCTACTCTTTGAGATGTCTATGGTTGCTATGAATGGAACTACAATTACTGTTCATGGTTGCCAAGGAATTCTCCATGAATGGAGTTGAACTCTTCATCTTCCAAAAAGATTGTGGGCATACCCGTCTAATAAAAACAACTGTAAATTTCTCAGGATGACTCTTAGGGGCTGTGGATTTCTGTGTCCTAGCAAGTGTACCCTAGGAGTTAGGTGTATTCCTGTTAGAATTACAAGGAGTATGTAGGAGGTCCTTCAGTTGGGAGAGAGTGAGGATTGGATAGATTACTATCTATCCACAATGGGAGTACAGAAATGGTAATGGTAAATAACAGATTTTTTCCTAAGTAAAACAGTCAACATGAGTTGAAAATGGGTAGAAATGGAAGGATTAAAGCTCTTAGTTACTGTGATTGGAGAAAGAGAAGAGTGGTGAGAGAGAGAGAGGGGGGGGGATTGGAAAATGTAGATTAGGGGAGGAAGCTAAGTCTAGTATGAAAGTGAACGAAGAGATGGCCAAATCATTTCTTTCTTTAGTGTGTAGTTATCCCATGTGCTCACATACTCACCATGGAACCAGGAACCACTACCACTCCCATGTGCCCAGGAATCACACTCCACTTTGGGATGCAGGGTGTTTGTGTTTCCCTTGAAATGGAGAGGCTAATCCACATAAGCACTTTGTGCATGTAGTGTTTACTCTGAGGATAAACTCTCTGCACACACTTCACATGAAATCACCAGAGACAGTCTCAACAGCTGCACTTTATGGTCTAATCCCCAAAGAATATCCCAAGTCATAGTATGAAACTGCACAAAACCCCTCCCTCAGCTGAGGCTTCTTCAAATACCTCTTCTTTCAAAAGTAATGTGCAAATAGATTTATAAATCCCAGCATTCAGAACTTGAAGGGAAAATAATTTAAATGGATCCATTGGCTTACATTGAAAGGTATTATGTAGATATAGTCACAATATGAGTAATTTGAAAAAAAATGTCCTGTTGATTTCTTTGTAACAATGCCTCGATTTTTCTATTGAAGTCCAGACACTCTTTGCTAATATCAGATGTCTGTGTTTTTGCTTCCAGATGTTCAGAGAACAGGTCTCTTGCCCAGTGGTAGGATAGGACTGGCTTATGTGTTGCTCTGACTCTTGTTCCTGTTGGTCCATATGGCTCTTCTGCATTGGAGTGTTTTGCTCTCTACAGACATTTGAATGAGCTCTGTCTGACCCTTTGGGGAATGTACTTCCTTCTAGGAAGCAGGGTTATCTAATATCGTGGAGAGGAATGAAGGGCTCAGTTATCTGAGCCCAGAGGTGGCTGGTGTCCTGTCAAATGATGGCATTACCCTTTAATGAGCCTTTTCCTTCAGCTTTCTGGCTATATTCCTAAGACACAAGTGTTGATTTTCAATGTCCTTTTGAAGGAAATATGGAAATTTGGATGTGAAGATGCCTATTACAGGATTCAGCAAGTATAGCATGCCTCTCATGGACATTTTCCTCAGCCTCACTCACACGTTGAGTTTTCTTATCTTACTTAATTCAAATTCACTTTCCATAATATGCACTTAACACAAAAAGGTCAAAAACATTGCTCATACCTGTGTGTGTATGCAAACATGTGCATGCATGTACCTGTGTGCTAGTGGTGTGTTGGGGTGTGTGTGTGTGTGTGTGTGTGTGTGTGTGTGTGTGTGTGTGTAATATGCTCTCTTCTGCCTATGATTTTACACAGCTGAGTATATCCAGATCGACTTTATTTTCTTCCTGTGCTCAGTCACTTTAATTATCTGTGATTCCTGAGTGCAAAGATCTGGAGGTAACACAATCTGCTCCTACAAGATTAACTTCCTGCTTCCCTTTCTGAACTTTCTCACTTTCTGACTTTTGGGCCAACAGGGAAATAAATCCCATAACTATTTCCAGAGCACAATGTAGTTTTAGAAAATAATTTTTGAAGGAAAAGAAAAACACTTGTTTAAATGCTGCAAAATTCTTAGGAAAAATTTTCAGATGATCTTAAAATTTAGTTCATTAAAAAATTAATAAGGGCCCTCTTAAATGGAGTTCACTTCATTAGAAAACTGACAGAAGAGCTCAAGAACACTTTAAATCCTACTCCTGGAAGCTCAGGCACTCAATTCTTCATTGAAAAAAAGAAACAAAACAAACCAGCAAGCAAACAAACATAAAAACGACTTGAGCAAGTAGCTAAAAGTCATCAGTAGCATCCTCAGTACTGGAGCATTAGTCCATGACTGCAAGGTGGATAGCTGTGGGCTGTGCCTAGTAATGCCACCTGGTATACTGGCTCTGAGATGCTTCCAAGCTGGACCCTGGTACTGCTTCCTGGGAATGATCCCCACTCCATCCATTGCAATGGTCTGCAACTCTCTTCTCTGACAACCATTCCTCATCTTCCTTCATGGCTCCATGTGAAGAGGATGTGTAGATATGTGTCCCTGGGCAGCCCCTCAGCTAGCCTGCAGAAAGCTGGGCTATAACTTACTCTGGCAGTGGGCATTCAGTTCCTTTTGATGTTGATTCCAGGGTGCTGCTCTCTGCATAGCATCTAGGCTTTTTGTTTATGTAATTAAGGACCACCTGTAGTTCTTGTTGATGCAAACACTTAGTGAGTTCTTAAATTTAATTACAGGGATTTGGGGAATGTCAGACTACCAGGGAGCAGCACACACCTTGAAGTACAAGGTCCTTCTGTCCCTTTGAGAAGGCCACTTAGCACAGCTCTTGTTCTTTAATACGAAGTTCTATCTCTTAGCACCTTGCTTAGAAACCTCCAACTCAGGTTAGTGGGGACACAGCTTCTATGTTTTGTCTTCAGACACAGGTGACACTTTGACAAATGGGTACCAAAGTGTAATAAGGACCCAGGTTTATCAGTGGTCCACAGTGGCCGCCTTGCCACTTTCCCCAGCAGTTCTGCACATTTCTCCTCCTATTCCCCCAATCCCTACAAGTGTCTCTTGTCACCCAGGTGCTAATTTTAAAGTGCTGCCCTGTATTTTCAGTTTCTGTGACAGTCACACCTCCTGGCAGTGTTAATTGCTCTGTCAGTTATCTGTTCCCAGTCCAACACTGAATCTCAGGATTTCCCAACCTCAGAAGCCTCTGAAGAAGGGTCACTTATTTAGCTCAGAGTCTGCAAAGTTCTGCGGCTGTTATCCCGACTGAGCTCACATTGGACAGGAGTGAACATGTGTGTAGTTGACTTGCTGTTGGCTCTTGATAGGAAGGAGATGGATGGCTTAATTTAGAACATTTAATTTGGAAAACAGCCTTCAAATAAGGGATGACATGAGATGAAAATACTTATTTTATTACTTGCCTGTCTTGAGAAATGCATTGCCTATTCCAAATCCACATACTCAGAGGAATTCAGCAGGAGAGGTTAGGGAGATGAACAAACATACATATCAGCCAGTGTCTCTGCTATGTATACAATACAATACAATCCTTTTGCAGGGAGTTTTAATTGGTGGATTTAAAGGAGGCTGGCACAAGCTATAGGAGGCCATGTGATTGAGTGGTCACTATAGTACCATCTATGTCTTGTGTGAGTGTCAGCAGGGTAAGCTGAGTATATTGTATGTGTATAATTCCTTCTGTGTGGGAATGGCTACTAACCAGAACCAATGAAAAGCAGATGTTTAGATCAACCACTAAAAAAGCTAGGAGGAAGTGAGGAAGTACTGACAGGCCTCCTTTTCTGGAAGGAAAAGCCCCAACTGACATACCGAGGGATACTCAGACCACATAAAATGGTAAGAATGTACTGCAGTGCATGTGTGTATGAGGGCTGAGCTCAGTTCTACTGTGTCTACGTCCAGTATGTCAGCCCAGCCAGGTCCTCTCAGTGATATCAGAGGCCCCTCATGCACAACGCAGCATACATCTCTGTGCTTTTCAGACCTCTTCCATTGTCTCATTTTGTGGTTAAAGGCAAGGGGTCTAGCACAGACTCAGTCTCATCTCAAAGGACCAAGGAATAGGGATGTTGAGAAATGTGGGCTATTAACTGTTCTAGAGCAGAAATCACTGAGCCCAGGGGGATGAGGCATAAGGGTCAGTGGAGGCTCCTAACTCCCCAGCTCTGTTATGCCCTACACTACCACATTGCTGTTGATATTACTGTTCAGAGATATTGTAAGCTCAAAATATGTCAGTCTGTTAAAACAGACAGGCAAAATCAAAATTAAAATTTGAAAATTTCTGATACAGGGCAGAGACTACATTATCCACCCCACCCCCCTATCTTTCTCTTTTCCCTTCTCATTTGTTAAACTTTTAAGGAAACTGTGTCATAGTGTGGAATGAGTATCAGGAATTAAGACTTTTAGATGAAATTGATGGGCTATATTAGCCTTGTGTGTGTGTGTGTGTGTGTGTGTGTGTGTGTGTGTGCATGTGTATGTGTATGTGTGACAATACAGAACTGTGAGGGGAATGTCTATTAGACCAAAGAGGTAGACATACTTCTGAGATGTAATCCAAAATCCTTTAGCTCAGTGCTTACTCCATCCCAGCACTCAGGCCTCAATCTGTTTTGCAGGATTGTGGAGTTTGCCCATGCTCTGCTATTATGTTTAGACAGAGATGCAGCACTCATAGAATATCTTGACTTATCTGTTTAATAGGCTTCAAGATGTCTTCCTTTCCCTTGCAGTTTAAAAGATGACTTTTAAGCAGTTGGAAATAGGAGTTAGTTGTGTGAAAGATAGGGTTCCTACCTACTAAAATGAAAGAATTGGGAAATATTGGCTTGTATGCTAGTAGGTTTTTATTTTAGTTTATAGCATTTTATTACTTAACTGTTCCCTGTAGGATATTCTTGGTCTCATAAGGATGGCGAAAAAGTGACTTGAGGTCTAGCTCTCACTTGTATAAACTTGTGTGTAAACTTGAGAAGGCTCCTTGAGGGCTAACTTTCTGTGGGACAGCTCTTCCTTTTCAAAGCAGATTATCTGTTGCAAAACAACATTGCTAGAGCTATTTGTTCTACCACAGATGAATTAAGGCCCAAATATACTAGCTGACAGGTTGTATTTCTTGAAGATACTAGCATTGTAGACTTACCATACATATTTTATTTTTTCATTAAAATCTTCATATTTTGAAGAATAGGAAGTAGTTGTTCAGTTAGTGATTTTTAATTGATATTTAGTATCTGGTCTTTACAAAAATAGTCTTTCTCTTTTCTCCTTACCTTTCTCATATCAAGAGTTACATTGCTTTATTCTCCATGGTCAACAAACATTCAATTCAATTTATTTTGAGAAATAATGTTCCACGTGCAGTTATTAAATTGAAAGTAATCATTTTTTCTGATCATCTTCCATGCCTTTAATTTGCAGGTCAAATTTCATTAGCTTACCAACTGAGAAAGAAAAAAAAATAATGGGCTTTGGTCCCAAATCCTGTGAGACTATAATTATAAAGCAACATTTGCATTTGTTCTGGGGAAAATTAATCTATTTTTAGCTGTAAATTATATGCTTGAGATAAATATAAAATTAGCAGACTGGAATTGGCTGTCACTATCAGCCATGAGGGAACACTGCTCTGAGGCCTGTGTTCAGGTGCTGTTGAAGCTTAGTGACACATGAACAAAATTAAGAGCCAATTTCATGAAATTCATCATCTCTTTCTCTTTCAGGTGTGGTATAACCAGAAGAGTTTCCATTCTCTCCCTTCCTACCTAAATCATCTCAACAACCTGATCTTATGGCAAAACTTACCCCCTGATGCTGCAGACTGGAGACAATATGGTAATGTTAGTTTTTGATGCAATGTCACTGACTACTTTCAACCTAATAGCATTTTTAAAAGTGAAAGGTGCAAACTAGGAAAATGAAGAATCATGAGCAGTTCCGTATCAGACATTGACTGCATAAAATCACACCAAGTTCTGGGCTCTCTATCTCTCACATTAAATGTCCAACTTCTTGGAACTGTGACCTTGTCTGTGAAACTAAAGGTGTTCTCAGAATCTATTTCAAAAATTATTCTGCAGTTTAATATCACATAGAAGCAAAGATGAATTCAATTTTAAGGATATTACCATATGGAATACTGCAGTGGAGAATAAAAGATTTCCCTAATGTGTTACAATTGTGAGAGTGAACATTGTAATTTGATTTATGTTGGCCCCTCATCTCATCAATCCCCTGTGTCAACCACTGACTGATTACCTATGCTTTCTCATTTTGGTAAATGGCTTAGGTCCATTTTTGGTATCCAGAATTTATTTCTTGGTTTAGGGGAATCTCCCAGCTTTAGTTGAGAAGAGAAGCAATAATTTATCAACTTAATTCAGTATCATTATATAAAGAAGAAAAAGTCAGGAAGCATAAGCAACAACAGGTCACACATGTTATAGTTTATTTCATTTATGCTTGTGGAAGCATCATTGCTCACAGAGGTCAGTGCTGAGCAGTTACTCTGAATTGGCTCCCTTTACTTGCTTTTAATATTTGCTTCCACATTTCCTACCTGCTTTCTTTTATTCTTTCTTTTTATATGGTGTTTTATCTTCATATTTGTTCCATGTGCATGTCTTGTGCACTAGGAGGTCAAAAGAGGTCATTGGATTTCTGGGAACTAGAGTTGTAGATGGTTGTGAGCCAGCACTTCAGTACTTGGAATCAAATCCAGGTCCTCTGAAAGAGAAACAAATATTATAAACCACTGAGCCATGTCTCCAGTAACCTTACCTTTTTACTTTTGTTGTGGTGTTGGGTTTTGTGGTTGCCTTATACATACGTATGGCAAGTACTCTACCTCTCCCTATGCCTCCAGCCTGCTAAAACCATTTAAAATAAGATAAACTTGTTTTCTAATACCCTAATGATGTCTAATGATAGTGGGTAATACCACATATTTAATGTGTATGGCTAAGAGAAGCACAAAAGAGTTATGAAACCAAACAGAGTAGGGACAAAAGAATGATGTTTACTAAGTGTCTAAACAATATCAGGAACTCCAGAAGGGTTAAATATGCATGGTTTCTTTTAATTTTCATGTAAAAATTTGTAAGATAATGTTTTGTGGATAATTCCATTGAGACTGGGCTTCACAACTCTGCACTTTGTGGTTTTCTGTAATGGTCTCCATCTGTTGAGCAGAGACATTTGCTTGATGAAGTATGAAGACTGCCTTTATCTATGGGTATAAGGACAGATGCTTATAGATTTTTGTTAGGGGTTATGCTTGTTTTAGTAAAATAATGCTTGTAGATTCTCCTCCAATAACAATGGCTTCACTCTCATATTAGGCCAGGCTTCCAATACCAGGAGTGCTTTCTTTCCAGGTCAGGGAAAATTGTAGAAGATGGGGTGGAAATATTGTAAGAGCCGGAGGTTCAGGGAATTTCCTGTGAGATTGTGTCTCCTAGTAATATCAGAAGCTACACCGTTAAAGTCTTACTGATAGGACTGCCCAAACATGAACTGAACAAGGAGGGCACTAGTGAATATGCTGACCTGGATGGGGAAGAACCCATGAGGCTGAGACCTCAAGCCTTCACAAAGAACTGTAAACAACTAAAGAGAGCTGAGAAGGAGAGATGTAGCCTTCCTCAGGAAGAGTAAATCAGTTGGACAATCTTTCCCAATACCGAAGATAAGAATAGTATTATAAAAAGAATATGTAAGAAGGAATGAGAGAAACATAGGAAGGTGCTTCTTAAATGTAAAGGTACCTAGGCAAGATTTTGGTGAATCTGGAGAAAAGAAGACACTGAAGTTCAAAAAGATGGGAGAAAGTTTGGGGCACTGGGAATGGGGGTAACAAAGGATTTAAGAGCTCAAACAGAAACTTGCACTTCTGGGCTGAATGACTGATGTCAGAACTGACAGCCCTTTGAGAAATGTTAGGAGAAAGAGGTGTCACAAATGCTTTTACCAGGAGCTGATACTGCTTGAGTAGGTGAAACTTTGCAGTAGGGGCCAGAAAACTAGAGAGGAGAAATCAGAGCAACCACAAACAGCCTTGGTCCCAACTTTCCTCTAAAAGTGACAGGTAAAGGTAATCAAGGAAGCAACCCCAGGATTGACTTGCATATTCAGCAAGTGAACAGGTCAGGATATCAAGCTGCCATCTGCTCTCCATGGCCAGTATCTGGAAGGGCAACTAACTGTTGTGCCTCCTACTTCCTGTCCACTCCCTTCTGTTTGCATTAGGCTTTCTCTCCTCTGATGTCCCTTGTATTTTTCTGGCCCTTATCAGCTTCCTACTGTGGTGTGCATGGGCCTCTTTATCATCTGGTTGTTCCACTGTACTCCAGTGCTGCAGGCTGCTGCTGACCAACTCCCTCACCTTCTCTTGGGTTTGGTTGGAGGAGCATAGCCAGTCACCACTATCTAAGGTTCATTGGCAACAAATAGGTGCAAATGGTTTAATCTGTGGGAACTTCTCTCCCACTGCAGCACCTACAGTGATGAACTGTTTTACAGCAAAGAAAGTGGTCTCAGTCATCAGCAAGATGTCAGAGTAGAAAGCTTGAGGCCATGGCTCCCCCAGTGACATATTACAGGAAAAACTAGAAATGGACTAAATGGACCTTTCTAAGAGCAATGGAAAGCAAAGAGTGACAAGAGACCAAACAAATGCCTAATCGAGAAAAAGTAAGGGGCTGCATGTGAATTTTATTTGGTTTTGTTCCACCTACCTTTGGTGTGTCCTGCTGTAGTTTCAGAGAACTGGTAGCTTAGTCCACGTGTCTGTGTGTGAACTGGAGAAAGCAGTACCACCAGAATTCTAAGCAGTCTGTTCTACACTGTCTATAAACTGCCTGAGAGTTTGGCCGCTGTGTCATATTGGTTTCTGTGCTGTGTGTATATGAGGTTCTGATAACAAAAGATGCTCAAATGTCAGACCAAAAGAAGCCAGCAAGCAGTGGGTGCATGTTAATGTCACAAGGGAGGATTGCAGACTGGCAGATGCCATGGGCAGAAAACTGCAGGCTCTAAGTGCATGTCACAGCTGAAGTACTAGAGGAAGAAGCAGTGAGATTCTTGGTGAAAACGAAGTATTTCAAGTCAGCCTTGCATAGAGAAGAATTGGACAAAGGCTGCTTCCAGGAAACAGGAAAGGCCTGGGAACCATAAGAACCCAAAGGCAACTGTATATCACAGAACTAATATGCACTCTCTCTCTCTCTCTCTCTCTCTCTCTCTCTCTCTCTTTCTCTCTCTCTCTCTCTCTCTCTGTGTGTGAGTGTGTGTTTCTCCCTTAAATTTTTCTTTTCGATAAATTTTTCCATATATCCCCACCTGGCCTCAAATTCATAATCCTTCTGTCTTCTACCATTAGAGGCCTATGATACCATGCATTATTCATTTTTGCAAATGCTTATTTTTGAGCAAATATTTTACAGTGTTTCTCAAAACATTGGTTGTATTATGATTCAGGTAGGGTGAGACAAAGAGATAAGGAGATAATTGACTTTGAAGGGTGGGTTATTTTTGTTTGTTTGTTTGCTTTTCAAGACAGGGTTTCTCTGTGGAGCTTTGGAACCTATTCCTGGCACTTGCTCTGTAGACCAGGCTGGGCTTGACCTCACAGACATCTGCCTGCCTCTGCCTCTGCCTCCCTAGTGCTGGGATTAAGGGCGTGTTGCCACCAACACCCAGTGAGGCGTGAGTTATTATACTCACAGGTTCTAAGGAAGGGGGCATGCCACCCACAAGAGCACACATTAGAGGCACTGTGGTCACTGGGGAGAGAGCCAAAGGAAATGTTGGTGTGCTTCTGCAGAGAGCAGTGTTGAGGCCTGGTAGGCAGATTCAGAATTGCTTTGGAGGCATGCGTGCAGTGAGGGGTGTTGTTATATGTAGGATCTGTACTTTACTGACTAGAACATGGGTGATTAGTGTAGAGGGTACCAGAGCAGTGCTGCCTGGACCACAGTTGTCCATTGATCATGTTTGCACTGCTTGTCAGATAACCAGGCATCCTGATGATGGTCATCTCAGAAGCATCTACTTACAGCAGTGGGCTCTTCATTTGTTGAGAAGCTGGGTTGGACTACAAAAACACATTTATTCTCTGTTATTGGAAATTTCTCTAAAGATATTTTGTTGTTTTCTTTGTATCAAAGTTTCAATTTTTGACTTGTTTATGCACTCAGTGCTGGAAAGGAAGTTCTGTGCAATAAATTGGGAACACAGAAGACAACACCGCAGGAGGGTACATTGTGAGTTCTTATTAAAATATTGACTAAGAACTCCCACTAGCAAAGCTTTGAGCAAAAATATTCTATCGTATCCCTTTCCGCTTGCCCATTCATGTGGGAATTGGACAGAGCTAGATCTGTGAGCTTAATATTATAATGAAAGCAGAGATTAGCCAGGGGAGGAGGTTGATAATAGAGGCCTAGTCTTATACTCAGCTTTGATGCCAGAAGCCCCATAACACAAGGGTTCAGGAGCCTCCAGATAACAGAAACCAAAACACAGGTCTCTGAACTATACTGACAACATCAGGAACTCCTGGTTAGTCCTCTGATTGTTGTGTTGGCCAGTATGGGCATTCTTGTCTTAGAGATAAAGAAACTTGAAGAGTTCATTCTTGTCCATTCATAAGGAGGCTGGTTTGTCAGAACCTACAGTGGGCTTTCTCATCCCAGTGATCTCATTAGCTTGTCTGAGTCCATATTTGAAGCATGGGACTCAGTGGAATCCAGTTTGAATTTTCTAGTCCATTTCCATAGAGCCAGTTTGTGAAGCACTGGATGATGGGTGCTAGTCCAGGTGAACCAGCTGTGGTT